AGGTCAGCTTTTTAAAAAATACGTCATATGAAACATATTTTTGCTTTTTTTTCCTTATCAATTAATTTTGTTGTGCTATGCTAAATTGAAGAGCTGTCTGTAGTCACATTGTTTTCCTACTTTGATTCTTAGCTTCTGGTAGTCTTGCGAAGATTGCATTTTGGCATGTTTTTATTTCCTCCTTGTGCCAGTTAAGAGGACTTTGCTTTATTTATTTGCATAAGCTCAACCTTTACATCAGAAGTGTTTCCAGTTAGTCACTTCTCTACCTGTTTCTTTCTAACTTTTGCTAAGCAGTCACACAGAGGTCAACAAAAAAGCATAAGACAGGAAAGAAATCTAGTCCATTTTAATTAGATCTGTGCTTGCTTAACTGTCTTTCTGAAATACTTAACATCTGTATTAGTTATCTTCTCAGCTTAACACAATATGTTAAAATAATAAAATGAATGATGTAATTGGAACAAGAAAGATGATCTAAAATGAAAGTACATTCACCTGAGCAGGAGTGGGAAGAGATAAGATAAAAATACATAAAGTACAGCAAGGCTTTTACAGCAAGCAAAATGAGGCTCCATGAGTGACCAACAGTTCTTTATGTCATCTCTTTACATGCTTAAAATGAAAAAGATAGTGTGGGTCTGTTGATGCTTTTTTTTTTAAAGTCTCTTCTAACAAAAAGAAAATTTTTCTTTCTGCTCTGAAGCGAGACTTTAATGTACTACTAACCAAGCTGGACACTCTAGTGAGTTAGAGCTGACAAGTATACTTGTAAGCAGACTAGGTAGTTTGGGGATCTAGTCCCTGCAACCCTTGCATGTCTATGCATGTCATCTCTTGACTTCAGTAAGCTCCATCTGAGTAAGTTTTTGTTTCATGAGGGCTTGGAAACCCATTTCTGATACCACTGATCCCAGAGTTTTGCCATTAGTTGCAGAGATGTTGAAGGGCCACTTTGCTGGAATTTGGACATGTCTAGTGTCACTTATTAAGCAGGAAGACTGACTTATTTGACCACCATCTCATGATCCCTCAACACTGCTCCCATCTTTCACACATTTATAGCGCAGGAGGTACTTGCAAGCATCTGGCTTCACTCGCCTGTGTCCTGGGACCACTTGGTGTGTCTATGATCTGCCAGACAGTTGCAGGGAAGTGGTGGAGTCCCCATCCCTGGAGGTATTTAAAAGACGTGTAGATGAGGCGCTTAGGGACATGGTTTAGTGGGCATGGTGGTGTTGGGTTGACGGTTGGACTCGATGATCTTAGAGGTCTTTTCCAACCTCAATGATTCTATGATTCTATGATTCTATGTGGCCTGTAGGGTTGTGCAGCACAATGGAGGCCCCACCACTGTGGTCTGTGGTCATGCAGAAGGCAGGAGGCTGTAGTACTGTGTTACAGGCTATTGAGAATGGCAACAAAGCCACTGCTGCTGCAGTTCACCCACAACTGCTGTGTAGTGGGAACGCATGCTCACTGGACCCTTGCGTATGCCACGCTCCCCAGCTGCAGCTGTAAGAAGGCCCATTTATTGCTACCTTTCATCACTTATCTTAAGGAATATAATCTCTTACCAAAGGGTAGAAAAGTTGAGAAAGGTGTGGACCCTGTCTAAGATCAAACTGCAGCAAGAAACTCCTTTGTTCTTTCTATACGAGGCTCTTTATAATGGTGCAATATGATGGAAAACGGAATTTGCCCCCTTGCGTAACTTTGTCTCAGCTGTCTTAGCATTCAGATTACTGTTAGGAGAGCAGTTGACTTGCAGGGTGCCTTGAGTAACAAGTGGCACTCTGAGGAGAAATGAATTGTGCAGGGAAACAGAGTGTGTTTGTGCAAGAGAGAGACAATATGGGGCAGATGGTGAGAAATATCAGGAAGAGAAAGACAGCAGAAGTATGTGGAGGAAAGAGGTTGAAGGACCTGACGTAAGTGGAGGTGTCCAGATGAAATCTCTGTAAGGGGAAACACAGGCCAAGGCCCCAGTCACTTCTCTATGTTCAGTCATGAATTTTAAGTGTTGAATTTACTTCTTGAGAATTATTCACAGATGCATGGTAAATAAGCGGTGACTTTCAGATACAGTTTGTTTTGGAGTGCTGGAGCTGGAGGGATCTCACATAGCCCAGGTGTACAAAGCCCACTAGGACCACACAGACACCCTTGTGCTTCCCCAGATCTTGGTTGAAGGGATAGCAACGCACCTCTTGTTCTCAAATCCACATCAGATCTCTCAATGAGAAGTGTAGAAGAACAGGTCACTGGCACAGGACATGCTGTCACAGGTACTTCACCAAATAGAGCGATGTCATTACTGGGGAGAGACATGAAACTCATGCTACCTTCTTCAAGCACAAGCGTGGTTAAGAAAATGTAGCAGGTCGTCGCGGTGAGGACTGGAGGCATCACTCCTAAGGCAGGTCTTGGACATACAGAGACGGAGAAAGCTGTCAGCCGTAAGATATGTACAGAATACTGACATTGCTAGAACCTGACCCAGTGGCTGCATTTAGCTGATGTGTCTGATCCCTGGTGCTAAAAATACATTTCTCAGAAACAAACTTTTAATTACTTGCCTTGCTGTTCCCAAAAGCACACCTCATCTCCGTGCCATCTTGTTGTACTTTCTCCCTGACTTTTGCACAAGCACCCGCCTATCATTCTCAGGAATCTTGTTATTCTTCTAGATGGACCATGAACAGCATCACATCCATATTTCTTAAGCATCAGACTCAAACCAACAAAATAGTACTGCATGAGTTAGTTCTCCCACTGTGCAGCATCCCTGCATAGTTGGCAACATATAAGCCTGTCACAGGGCTGATGCCCTGATGATTTTTTTTGTCATGATCTGTTTATTTGGTTGGTCCCACCTTCTCTTGGATGTAGGCCTAGCATTTCTCTGTACATTTAGAAATAAGGGTTGGGGTGGTTTTGGAATCCTGTACGGTGTCATATGTGAAATATAAGGTTTTTCCCTACTAATCTGCAGTCTTCTCTTTTCTGTTGTATTTTGCAGGAGCATCCATCTCTTGGGCAGCTTTCTGAAAAATTGATTGACAATAACATCAATGTTATTTTTGCAGTTCAAGGAAGCCAGTTCCATTGGTATAAAGTAGGTTAGAAACCTGATTTCTTTTTCCAATTTTGAAAGCACAATATTTATATTAAATATTAAAACTGTGCATAAATTATTGTATTTTTCATAGGATCTGTTACCTCTGTTGCCTGGTACTGTTGCAAGACAGATAGAATCACAAGCAGCAAATCTCAATGATTTGGTGGTAGAAGCCTATCAGGTATGATAAGAGTGACAAAGTTGTATGCCGTATTTGTACAGGGATTTTTCACATTTCATAGACTAAAGTTGGAATTTCCAGGATCTTGGCTTCTATCTGAAGTCCACGAGGATAAGTTCCCTACTTTTCTGAACGTCCAGGTTGGTGGGTGACACTATCCCACGATAGCTCTCAAATTCCCAGGCTGTCGGGGTCTCAAAGCCAAGAGCTAGCACTTTTTCCTTTCTAAGGACGCTTCTAAATATGCTGTTTGATTCTCTGCACCTGTTGCCATGTAACTTCAAAAGAAATGTCTGACTTATTTGAATTTTGGCATCTCAGATCTTTAGTTTACAGACCAGACGCCACTGTCTAGGCACCATATAAATTCAGAAAAAAAAGATAGTGCAGTATCTAGAGGGTTTTACAGCGTAATTCTTAGAAAATGGACAACAGGTGGGAATTTACAAGGAGGCAGTTTGACAACAGTGGATATTGTGGAAAGCAGGGTTTACACTGCACAAAGCAGTGTAATGACTCGGGGTTTTGAGGCATGTCAGTGAAGAAGAGTTTTGATAGGGATTTGGGAGAGAACAATGGAAATGGCTTTGTGAACTCTTGCCTGGAGTTCTCAACTGAAAGTAATAATATGGGAAAGAGAAAGTAATAGTATGGGAAAGAGCATAAAGTCATTTTCCACAAATGTTTGACAGGGAATGGCAGCTTGAAAGTGGAAATTGGCATCTCGATAGTGAATGAAAGATGATAGCCTGGTAAGAGGGGGCATAAATAGCTTTGAAAATGAAGCCAAGTAGTATACATTTGATGTACTAGAGCACAGGGAGCCCACAGAGCAGCACCAAAATGAACGTGATGGGTTAGATGGTTGAATGCTGTTAAGGTGTGCAAGTTACACAAACATGCAAGTTCCAAAAGCTGAAAAATCAGTTACAAAGCTATATGCAAGTTATCAACATGTATCACATTATTTTTAATTAGTTGGACGTGGGAGGCTGAAATTATCCGTTGTACTAGGTTAACCATCTAAATCAGGCTATTTGCTTTCAGCAAATTGGCTATAATGAAGAGCCAAGTCTCATGTCTGTTCCTAGTCAATATAGTGGGTTTGTGCACATTTTTCTCACTGTCATGTTGGAAACATTGTGCAGAAAGCAAAGACATTCGAAAGCAGAGGAGATTAGGTGTAATCAAATTGCAGAGAAGTTCCAACTGATATTGTACTTTCTTTTATAAAATTGAGAAATCTCATTTTGAATATGGAGGTTTGCAGGAAATTGCTGGCAAAAAATTTTGAAGATCATAGTCCTTTTGTATGCCACTTTTACACTGTCCATCCTAAATTGCATCCCGGTTTTTAGAGCACAGTGCAGGGCAAACATTCAAGGAGAGGAAACGAAGATTTACAAAATAATTATTTAGTTCAATGGAAGATTCTGTGGGACTTTCCTGCTCCAGCCACCCCCAGTTTGCTCTTGCCTTATTTTCATTTTTTAGACAGTATCTTCCTTCCCATCCTAAACTTCATTGGATTTGATACTTTGAGATTTTTATCATAGTTTTAGGGGCTTGTAATATACAAACACACAGTGAAGAGGGCTTGAATGTTTTGCTTTCTTGAAAGCAAAAGTACTTAGATAAGAGAATAAATTTAGTGTTGATGTTTGATGACAGTGAGCCTCTTGCACTCTTGTTCTGGGCAGGGAAACCTTAGGCTTAGTTGTGGAAAACCCTGGCTGAAAATCCCTGGCTAAAAAGCCAAAGATGAGTCACTAATTTTCAAAAAGTTACTAAAAGAAACATGTGTTCAGATTCATGTAATTAAATTTCCATTTGTAGCAGTAAAAATATCCCACTAAACTAATTTTTTAAATACTAATATGAGAGGAATTTTAATAATCTCTTTGTGCAGTTTTCAGCTCTTCGGTTTGTACAGAGCTTTAATAAATCTTTAAAAGGCCAAGAAGCAATATTCCTTCTTGGAAGGAAGTAGGATTTTAGAGCATGCAGTTAATACAAGTCACAAAGTAGCTGGCTTTTTCATTATTCGTAATGTAAAAAGCCCTAATGGGAATCAACCAGTTGTTGACTTATATAGTCCTAGCTGACCCAAATAAATCAGTAAGAATAATCCCAATAGCCTTTAGATCACCCTAAGGTTTGTTCAGAAAAAACTTTTCCAAGACAGATGCAAAATATCAGAAGTTTATAAAGTGTCAAGTCAATTAGGAACCTTTTCTGCCGGATAGCAATAATTGTATGTATGTTTACTGTTTTATTTTAAATGTGTGGCTAAAAGGCAGTGTAGTCTGTCAAACAATAAGCAGTTTTTGTTGTCACGGTTGTTAGAATAGATTTTCAAATTGCCCAAAATACAGTCTCAAAACCATTTTAGAAAAGCTGAAAACGTTTTTATCTGGAAAACGTAATCCTCTTTATCACAGTTACCAGTTCACTGGCTTTGTATATTTGGAATGTAATCGGGTCTTTGTATGGGAAACAATACTTTAATTCATTCCTTTATTCACACAGACAAGCTTTCTTCATTTTTAGTCAGACATAGTAGCCGTACTTGGTGTTAGTCACTAATGCATGTTATATGTAGAGATGCAAAGCGACTAAAACTTGTTTTCTGGTTACAGAAACTAATCTCTGAAGTGAAAATTCAAGTGGATAACCAGATCCAAGGTCTTCATTTCAATATCACTGCAATCTGTCCTGATGGAAGTAAAAAAACTGGCATGGAAGGATGTAAAAATGTGGGATATAATGAAGAAGTATGTTGATAGTTTTCGTTCTTCAAGGAACTGAAATACTTATTTTTCTGTTTGGTTGGGTTTCAATGGTGTGAAATCCTCTAGGGATTTACTTAAACTGAAAATGGATTTATGTGATTAATGATCACAGACTCTCTATTATTGTCTGGTTTTATTTTTCCTGAATCTTATTTTAATTCTCACTAATCTCATGGAACTAAGGCTCAAAGATTTTCCTGAAAGCTAACGTCCATTAAAACTCTCCTTCTTTGTCCTCCACTGGGCACAATGGCCATGTTCATTGTGATGAAATCTGTACGTAAAGAGGTTGAAAGATAATCACTCGGTGGAAAAGAGTCACTGGAATTCGTGTTCCTTGGGTCTGTACAAGACACCACCTTTCCCTCTCCTTGCTCTAGTAGTCTTCATGCACACTCAGGGTTGTGGATAATTAGTTTATTTTATAAATCAAATTAATAAAATTATTTGTCCCTGTTTAGATCAGTGCCACCTACTGAATGAAACAGATTATAAAACTGGAGGATCATGCACCGTGAAAATGTGGGGGAAGATGTCTGGCTAATAAAAAGAACATGGTTTTCTTCCCAGAACAACTTCTCTGTGCCTTGATATATTTATTTAATTGCTTGGACTAGTAGAGTAATTCATTTAGCTTGCCAGGAAGAGGTCTGTGTTTCTGGAGAGCGGGGTCAAGGAGTTCTTTCCTTCTTGACATGTACATACGTCTCAGCTGGTGTGATTTTTACTTGTGTCTGTGTGTAGGAATAGCAAAACAAGTCAGTAGATTGAATGTGTGAATTTTAAATACATTAATTTAGATGTATTTTATGCTCTTCTGAATTTTGTCTGCATGACTTGCTGCTGATTATCTTCTACAGTTTAAGGGAGATTTGCTATGTTTTTCTTCTTAATTCATCTCTTCTCCAGTGTTGTTCCCTGTGCATGTCGTAAGAAATAGGGCTGGAATTCATTCTGTTTAATGAAAAGAAAAATATTTAGATCTGTTTCTTTTTAATAAAAAGCCAAGCCCGTTGATTGTAAAAGATTGCATGTGGTCCTAAACCTCTACTGCTGTTGAAAATGAGCCATCCTCAAGAGATTAATTTATTTTAACTGTAAATCCTCCTTTTAGTATTTGTTTACAGGCAAAATGCTTTTCCTTAATTCTCACATTCCTTTCATTGTCTAATCCTTCTTCCTTCCTTTTCTTACCAAAACACAAAGCGTATTCTATTCTGGAAGAATCCTACGGCCTCTTCAGGGTGCAAAACTAACTTTGGCTATTAGTGAGTGTCAGTGTTCACAGTGTTGTAATTATTTAGTCACAATATGTTTAATCTTTCTGCTGCTGTGTTCAGACCCATCAAATTTCACAATTCGTATGCAAGACATGATTTGCCCTTCCCTCCCATCTCCCTGCCATTCCTCCAGTAGTGTGTTGTACGTGAAGATGATGTTCTCTAGCAGGATTCTGTGTTGAGTAAAAAGCACATTCTCTAGCTGCAGCTTGTCCTCCCCATGTGATACGCACCTGCTGTATGAATTAATTAGTGCGTAGCCACACTTTTGCCTCGTAACCGAAGGGAAGAAGTCTCATGCACGGAGAGTGTAGGCAACTGAGGGGTTATGTGTGTAGTGGCGCATTTAAGAAGCAAGAAGAAGAAAAGCAAAGGGTGAGACAAAGCCTGTGTGCCCCCTCAATACGACATTAAGAAGCACATGCTTCTGCACAGCATTCTTCTCCTGTTGTCCGTGTAGGCAGACGCAGCCCCACTCGCCACAAAGCCACCATTGTCCCCAAGGGCTCAGCTGTTCTCATGTGGGGGCGCAGCGGGAGCGGGAGACAGCGATGAGAAATGAATGGTCTTAGTCTTTGCGGGTAGTTTCAACCTCGTATGTAATCAGCTTGTTAGGTTTTCTCTTTTTTTTTTTTTATTTGGAAATCTTTGTTCTTTGGTGGTAAAGAGTAAAGGTATTTGCTTCTCTTGGGCTCCTTTCTCGCCTTTTCCTCTTGGTTATATTTCCTCTGTGAGGAGGCAAGGAAGAGTTGTTTTCTGTCAGCAGGCTAAATAGCCTTAGTGAGAATAACCTGTCAGAAGCCTACCAGTCAAAAAAACCCCAAAAAACAATCGTGAAATACAAGATTGCTGTCCAGTGAAAGTATCACAGATGCCAGAGCTGTCAAAGAGTTTTGGTAGTGGTTGATGCAAACCCTATGGCAGTCACCTAATCACCAAAATGAACCAGGGTCCTGTGCCAGGACTCTGGAAAGCCACGGGGGCTGCTGCTGCAATGAGCATTACCGGGGTGAGGACCTGGGGCATGGTGGTGATGGCCATGACACGGCCAGGAGCTAGGCACTAGGTCCACTCTAAAGCAGCACTTGGTCTGCCCAGGACCACAGCAAGAGCAGCAAGACTGTCTTGCTCCATCCCCATTGTAGGAATTGGGAGAAAGAAGCTGATACTAAGGTGTGAGCCATTTCTGTGTTTTAGTAGGAGTAGATAGGGCCATCCAAAAAACCTGTGTGGTTTCTATTTGCACAGACCATTTCTGCAGCAAGAACAGTCATTATAGGTTGTTTTTATGAAGAGTATCTCTGTTTCTGTTTGTGTATTGCCTTCCTCAGTCTAGTCCCAATTCTCATCTGAGTATTTCTATAATATAACAATGTACACATTAAAGAAGATCAGGAGGATGATGATGGTAATTCTATTACTATTTAACTTGTATTAAACTTGTCTTCTGCAACTATGCTTTTTTAACATGAAAAGTAGACTGCTGTCAATCTTCTATTGTTAGGATTTTAACTGTATTTGTGATGCCTATCATTACTCATATATCATATTTGACAAATGGCCACTGTGTATCTTACTATTAGCTAGTGTACATTCATATGCAATGTAAGATTCTGCTTTATGTTTTAAAAATTTTAAGCAATTTATAGGAAATAATAATGATGTAAAATCTGTCTTTATTTCTTCTTAGGTACTTTTCAATGTATCAGTTACAATGAAAGGATGTGATACAACTGGAGGAAGAAAATATGCAATACTTAAGCCTATTGGTTTCAATGAAACCGCCATCATTAACGTGCAGAAAAGCTGTGCCTGTCAGTATGGAGACAGTGCAAGGCACAAAAGAGTATGGGCTGATGAAACTTTTTCTGATGGCAAACAGTCCCATTGCAGTGACAATAATTGTAGCTCTAATAGAGATACGCTTCCTTCTGAGAGGTGCAGACGACACCAGGGCCAGCCCATCTGCAGTGGTCAAGGAAATTGCATAGGTGGAAAATGTTTCTGCTACAAAAACAAGCTAGGCAAGGTGTATGGCAAGTACTGTGAAATGGATGATTTTTCCTGCCCGTATCACCAGGGGAACTTATGTTCTGGTAAGCTGCAGAGTTTATGTCTGTGTTTTGTTTTTGTTTGGGTTTTGTTTGGTTTGGTTTTGTTTTCTGAAGCTTATATACATGATGCAGCTGAAAACAATGATATAAGGCTGTCAAGTACAAGAATGTGTGTGCAGAATTAGTGTGTGAAATGTCCTGAACAGCCTGGTAGGAATTCACGCTCCTGGGCTTTCTTCACCACAGAGGTATGCACTGTCTTCTAAACTTCAGCACTGCTTTTTAGGGGATTTATTGAGTTTTTTCTAAGTTTAACTATTTTTAGATTTAAATCTCAAACTTCTTCAGAGGTATTGATACTGAATATCTTGGATAAAACAGTAACATTATTCGAGAAAGTAAGTTGATACATTTCAGTCTAATGGGAATATGAGACACTAAGAGATTAGGAGGAATCATAACTTCCAGTGAGGTTCCGATTTTCTAACACCCTAAATCAGTCTTGTCAGAGATGCAGTGACACTTGATTTCAAATACTGATATATATGCTAACACTGTTTGGAAGACCTGCTCCAAAAAGTAGAGTGGAAGTGAAACATAAACAGGGACAGTGGTTAGAAATTATTCTTTTTGTGGCCTACTTTATGTTTTTTTAAAGAAAGCATGCAAATGAAAATTGCATATGAACAAAATACAAAACTCTACTTTTAAGTTAGAGTTATTAAGGAAAAATAGGATTGAATCAATCAGTATCATTACTGTATCTCTACCAGAATATTTTTTTCTCTCCTCAGAAGTAATTAAATATTTTAAAATCCATACTGCTGTCCTGCATCCTTTCATTTCAATGAGTGAATTGAGGGACCAATTTTTTTGACCGCAGTTGGATAAATTTAGAGTAATACTATGGATTTTAGTAGAGTTACTTTGGTTTCGCTCTGCTGGTGACTGTGAACTTTACATAAAACGAAGAGAAATAATGTTACCTAATCCTTTAAATACTTCATTCCAACACAAAGAATTACAGTTCATCTTCTCACTCTTCCTCCCTACCCCCAACCAACTTTGCAAATTTACTATTTCCTAACATAAGCAGACCTTTCAAACTTATACGCTCCTAAAGCCTGAGATGTGGTGCCCTGGTCAGCAGAGGAGGCAAGGAGATCTTTGTCTAAGAGATGTTGGAGATTGTCACATGTGATGGATTCCTGCCCTAGGGTACCACAAGGGGAACCTGCCACCTGGGGCCATGGCTCAGCAGCGTGCCTCTTCGTGGGATATTTTCCAGTGCAGAGCCCTGCTCTGAGATGTCCTATGATCCCCTTCCCCACTCCATTTTGCCCAGCCCAGGTGAAAAAAGGGGCAGCCTATACCTTGGCCTCACTCCCATTTAGGGGATCCCATCTGTTAGATGGGACTGTCTCCCTGCAGCTGCTCCGTGGATCCCTGGAGCACAAGAGGGCCATCACAGTTTGTGTGGAATTTACGTACTGCCGAGGCATAGTTGAGGAGACCTCATGAGATCTGCCCGTGCTTTATGCGCTCTCTATTTCTATATTTCCTAAAGGTGCTTTCCCACGCTGTAAAAATGTGACTAAACATTATCAGCATGTCGGTTGTACAGCTGCCTAAATGTGCTACAACATGGAAAACATATGGATTTTGCCCTAAAGCTCCCACTGCTTTGCCTGGAAAATTGTAAAGGCCACCAGAGGTTCTTCATAGCCTTCGAATCCTTGAGGCTGTGCCTTTTAAGTTCTTATTAAACAACCTACAGTTCATAAGCACAGCATACCCACCTGTCCAGCTCAGTCATCTGTCCTTTAGAAAGGCAGAAAAGCAGTGCTATCATGCATGCTTTGAAAAGAAAAGAGAAAAAAAACAACCTGGCCTGTGCATATGAACTTGATACTCCTTCCTCCACTGAATCTTGCTGTTTATTTGAATTGAATGCTTTCTTGCTAAAGAGAAGTTTGTTTAGTTTGCCTGAAGACTGTTTTCCTGGTCGTTGTGTAATTTTTAATCCCCACTGCTTTGATCAAAGGCAACAGGGAAAATTCTAGTAAAACGTTTTAGGATGACATCAAGGTAGCAGCTTTTGCTCAACTTAACAGCAAACAGCAGCCATAAATATGTATCATGCTGGTAATTTCAGCCCAAATAGTTAACTTAAAAACTAATTAGCAAACCAAGGTCTAAATTAGCTCTGTTAAATATAAAGCACCAGCAATACAAACGTATGCATATAAAAATTGACTTTCTATGTTTTCATAAAAGCATATGACTCAAGGCTATCTGATGTTCTAGGTAATGGTGAATGTGAAGCTGGTAAATGCAGATGCTTTGCTGGCTGGGAAGGTGACCGTTGCCAGTGCTCGTTACAATCAGCAAAGCACTGCCTGAATTCAAAGGGCCAGATTTGCAGTGGAAGAGGAAAATGTGTATGTGGAAAGTGTGAGTGCACAGATCCAAGAAGCTTTGGCCGTTTGTGTGAATATTGCCCTACTTGTAACAAAGCCTGTGAAGAAAACTGGTACGTTTCTTGTGCTAGACTTTACTTTTTAACTCTGTAGTCTTGAAACAAGGAGAAATATTTCTGCTTGGCTATATTATTGTGTGCTATATTTCTTAGATAATTAGATTGTAGGAAATCGAAACAATTCATACTTGAGACTTTTCTCTAAGTAGCTGAGAGGTTCACACTGGCAATTAAGAGAATTGTGTGTCCGTATCTGTGTTCACCAGTCTGTGTCCAACTTTCAGCTTTCTGAAGTCAAAGGAGGTGTGTCCTATGAGTATCTTTTTTTTTCATATATTTATTAAAAGATGGTTCTTCGTATGAAATCTTCTGGGTAGGAAACAAAGCCTATAAATTTGGAGTTTTAAAATGGACAGTAGATCCTTCTCTTTAATGCCACCAAGTCTAATAATATTGTCCAAATTTGTTTTTGCGCACTCCTCGTGCTTCTCAGCTGAAAGAAGGAGGCGTGGAACAAGAGCGGTACCTGTGCGTTATCACTGCCATTGGTCAGCAGAGCAGAGCTGGTCTTACCTAGAGAACAACATTCTCCGTTACTCAGTTTTAAACCACTTGGCCTTTGCTGTGCTAGTTTTAAAGCATGCCATTTTTCCTTACCCATGTAAAGGAAGGGACAGTGTGGAGGTCGAAATGAGCAGCCCAAGGAGGAGAGAAGCTAGACCAAGCTGTCAGTGGTACACTGGCTGGCGCTGGCTTAAAGAGTCAATGAAGCCCTGTCTTTGGGCACGGCTCTTCTACACCCTCCCGTCAGCACGTGTAATCTTCTGCATCCCACTGTGGCCAAGAGGGTGAGAGATCAGCCTTTAGTTGGAAAGGGAATTGTCATCAAGACAGAATTGTTGTTTATTCGTATCCATTTGAATTATAGCTCATCTGGCGAATATACTGGAGAGACAAGCTGGGCCATGTCTGAAAAGGTGACTGCTAAGACTTCACTAGATAAAATGCAGGTAGCCTTGCTGGCTTACACTTGTTCAAAGTCACTGTGAAAAGTGTGCCTTTAATAAATTCAGAAGATGGCATAGCTTCATTAAAAATTCAGTCAGGGCTTTTTCAGGATCACTTGTGATGTCCGTCTTCTGCAAGGCTATAAAGTGAAGATGGCAAGACTGACAGCGCTGCCTCCCACTGTGCTGCTGACCCTCTGAACTGCCCAGCAGCGGGACCTTGCGTGGCTTTGTCTTAACATAACATCCAAAAAATTATTAACAAAGCTGTGCTTTCTACACCTATCTCTTCCCTTCAGTCCCAGCGTGTATCCCAATGAGATTGATAGATAAGACAGACTGGAACTGAACTGGAGGCTGACAGCTGAAGAAAGGGTGCTGGACCCTTAGCTACACCCCCTGAAAACAGCACATCACAAAATGCAGAGCAGGGGCCGGATGAAGGTGGCTCGAAGCCAAAGACATGTTTTACTTTACAACTTCTGACTAGTTGGTTCTGAGAAGCATCACAGGGATAAAATGCTGAGAGGCATCACATTTCAGAAAAAAATAAATAAATGTCGCAATGTTTTTACTAACATCAGGAAAGCATTATGTGCAAGCGATACGTCAGCCTGGTGATACAATCTCTTTAAGAGGAGTGCAGAGAAAGACACGGGTTTTTAATTACATTTTTACTTTACAGGAATTGTGTTCAGTGCCATCATTCTAACAATGCATCTCAAGCTAAACTTGACCAGTGCACGACCTCATGCGCTTACCTGCTGCATTACATTGACCAAACTCCAGGTATGTAACATTTTCTAGGTAATTTTAATAAGAGATGAAAATCTGTTGGGATTAATAATTGAATTCACCACTGATACAATGTCTTTCAAAAGTGTGTCATACTATTACAATAACAGAGAAAGAAAGCAGGAAAAAGGGAAAAATCACTCGTAGCTTCAGGGAAAGTAAAAGATAAATAATAACAGGAAATGTGATTGGCAAGGATTGCTAAATCAGATTTCCCAGCTCCTTGAGAAGTCACATCTAATAATAATGAATCCTGCGTGAGCAACGCTTAAAGAAATATTTATAAGAATCTGTTATGGCATCTGTATATTTTATTACTATGGATATGCTTACATTATTTGACATTACCAGAAACGAGGAGAATGAAGAAGAATGCTTACCTCACGTTCAGTAATGTTTAAATGTTCCTTTCAAGTACAAAAAACTGCAGTTATGAGGGCTGTGGAAGAATAAATTATTTTTTTTAATAAAATCTCATAAAGCTTAATCAGTCTACGCTGCAACAAAAATGCAGGTAAATGGTTACCTTTTGTCACTTCACATTTTTGCACGTCTTTTATCTTACAGTTGTTCATAAATGAGAAAACTAACTGAATACTTTTCTCATAACTTTAGTATTAATTAAAGGAAAGCTTGCTGCATGAGAGAGGTTTACCAGTGAGGAGAGCACTGGACAAAAATTCAAGAAACCACATTTTCTTTCGTATTTTGCCAATGATCTGCACTGTAATCTTGTGAAGTTTAAACTGTCTTGGCCCCATACATCTCTAACTTTTCATCCTCTCTATTTCAGCTATAAGCTCACCGGCTTACAGAGAATTTACGGTGGCCAACACAATGAAGCCTGAGTCTTAGTTCTGTAGATTAAAAGAATAATAGTTTCACTGTTTTTCTACAGTGGATCTTAATTGGAATTGCCTTTTGTGATATACCCCGCTTTAAAAGCTTGCATATGGCAACTTTTCCCCTTAACTTCCTTAAAGTTATTTTCCCTTAACTTTTATCAGGCTCATGTTACATTTACGTGACATTACTGTGTAGATATGACTGTGTTTGAGGGATGTGCCTATTCCATACATTAGGCTTTACACTTGTGTTTTCCTTTCGTTGCAGAATGTTTCTCTGGACGAAGCTACTTTAGAGTCTTTTCCATAATCTTTATAGTTACCTTTCTGATCGGGTTGCTTGTTGTCCTTATCATCAGGCAGATAATTCTGCAGGGGAGTAGCAATAAAGTTAAATCTTCAGCTGATTACAGAGTATCTGCAACAAAGAAGGTAATTGATTTCAAAGCCATCATATTCAGTAATCTTTTTCTTGCACATAAAAGTTAGCTAATCGTTGATAAAAATTGTATCTTCTCCTTCAAGGATAAGATGTTTTTGCCTACTGTTTGTACAAGAACAGTAACGTACAGACGTGACAAACCAGAGGAAATAAATATCGACATCAGCAAGTTACGATTAAACGAAACTTTCAAGTGTGAATTCTGAAGACAGTGTGTTTTCTGCAAATGTCTATTTCCGTCATGCTCGACTTTTTAAAAGTTACCTTTTGTACTCTGTCGGAGTCTTGACTGTTGCCGTATGGTTTTGTGTCGTGCGTTTTGTTGAATACTGTAACTGAGTGACATGTAAGCATATTCACGTCATGTGACTATGTTTGAGACTATAGCTGCTGTATTTTTTTTATTTTTGAAAGAGAAATGTGCGTTACTACTGTTCAGAAACATTAGTGTTGATGTAGCACTTTAGCATATTCTAATTTATTTAGTTATGGCCTAGAATGTAGAAATGAACCGGTCTGACAAAGCACTGATCTCACTCTACATGTAGCTAGTACTGATGTGCTCTGTGGGAATGGACAAAAGCTGTGACTGAAATATTAACATTGCTGTATATTATAGCAATAGATAAAACTGTTCAAACACTCTTAAATAGAGTAAACGGTACTTTTATAGTTCTCTCAGTTGACTAAATTCCACTGATTTGTCTCCTTTAGCCTCTTAGCTTCTCCTCATTACTTAATAAAAATGACTGGATTAAACGAGTGCTTAATTACTGGTGTGGATGTATAGTTGTGTGTGTATACACACACATGCGTGCACACACACAGAGATAAATTTTATATATATAGTTTTTTATACGTTATGACGTCACTTAAAGATAATTTATATCTGAGAAAGAGTAATTTTTAGCTTTTTTACTTGTTTCAACATAAAAATTTATATATGAATTTTAAAGTATTTGGAAACTGAGTGGCTACAGAAAACGAGAGAGTTCCTCTGTCCGACAGCATAGTCTACATGATGATCGCTGCCGGCTGACTTCACCTTTCGAGTCAGCAGCATCAGCTCCATTGCAAGCAGATAAATTACAGCAGAGCTGTGTTTGTTTTGCTAGCTACATGTCAGTGTTTTGCCAAATAAGGGCTTTGTTCTTTTTGTATGATGTCAGACCTAAGTCTGATTTTACACACGTGCTCTTTTTTCCTATGTAAATTAGTTGACAGGATTAGATTTCGTGAATCCTTACGTAACCACTTCAATTTTTGTGACTGTGCATTGAGAAATGTGTCCAGTGTGATGTGGGAAAGAACCTGCAATTTGGAAGAAGGTGAGGAAAACAGGAGTCTTTTTCTCAAGAGAACACATTCATCGACTTCATAAATGTGGGATCAAATTCTGCCTTCAGAAATGGGCAAAACTCTCTTCTAAGCACAGTGGGACCAATATGAGCTTATCTGAGAGCAGAATTTGAGCTACAGGGTCAAGCAGAAGCATTTTCTCACCCCTGAACCCGGCTTTAGTGGTAGAAGGCTTGTTATTGTTATATGCTAGTTGGAAGAGTCAGCCAACAGTCTGATTTACTAACTTTATGCTGCCAAAACCCTACGAAAATCTGATCAACCTCTAATGCACTAAAATCTTGCTGGTAAAAAAAAAAAATCATCTCAGAAGAGAGTATGCAGTGTATCATTTTAGCAACATTAATTACTGATAACTAAATATTGGTCTGTACTGGTCATAGATAAGAGTTACAGAAACAAAGCAGGACCTCTTTATATGCAGGGTTTAGAAATTAGTATATATTCATATTTCCTATTCTGTATTTCTTCTGCAAATTCCAACTGAAATCTGAGGAGTATACATGTGAAAGGAAGGCGGGATGCAGAACAAATGACGTTATGAGAGTGTTCACAATTAATTTATTGGGTCGTGGATCAAGTGAGGGATCAAGAAAAATAATATAGAGACAGTGGGCTTTCCATTAAATTGTCATAAAAGCTTTAGGTTTTAGGGCTTGTTTAAAAAAGAAATGTAAACTGGACTATTAAATGTTTCTAAAGCAGTCTTCAAAGGAGTCCCTGAGCTTTCTACCATACAGGTAAAAGTGTCTTATTTAAAGAAAAGGGGGGTTCCTTACACTGACCCCGATTTTAGTGATAGCTTCATTGTAATATCTTAATTATAGATTAATTCTGTAATCTATCAAATATACCTTAAACTTCCATTTTCTTTTAAAACACATAGAACCATTTTCCTCCTATGTAAATTAACAGATTCCAAACCATTGGTTTCAGTGGGATTAAGATAAAACATCGATAAAGGTTTACCTGCTGTTGGCCTTGTCACAATTCGTTAGTATTTTTAAGCGAGTAAGAAACAAAGTCTCTGGGTATCTTTCACTTAACAAAATGAAACAAATTTAAAAGCTCAACAGAGAAAATCTGAGTATATAACAAAAGATGTGATTATGTTCTTTAAACAGTGTGATAATTTTTATTTTTTTTTTTAGCAAAAAGATTCCTCAGATGTATTTCCCATAATGGCCCTGAAAGCATTTGCTGACGTGATAGCTAATGTTTTTTCTTTAGAAATTACTTTTCACTGTTAGAAGGAATTAAATTATGTGGATAGAGGACAATGGAGCTAGGTTCTTCGTGGGAGAAGGATTTGAGCTGTAACACCCACCTTCCACACACATCACACTGCTACTACTTTTCTTCTGCAGTGCTGCCTGTGAAGGGGCACGGCCAGTATTTCCTTATCAGACACCTGCCTGAATGTTTAAAATGCTCTGGTCAAATTGAGCAGGCTCACAGGACAAATTGCACTGTAAGCTGCTTGCTGTCCTGAGGTTAAAAAACAGCATATTAAAAAAAAAAAAAGTTTTTTAAGAAAAAAAAAGAAAAAAAAGCTTTTTTGCATCTCCCTCATGGTTTTGCTGTATTGTGGAGGAGGCTAGTGAAAAAGAATAAGCTGCTGCTAATGTGACAGGTCAAGGCTTTTAGAAGGCCCATGGGGAGCTTATACAGGGCAGGATTCTTGGGAGGAGGCTTTGTTTCTAGGGATGGAATCTATCCATGAGAAACTCTGGCTTTGCTTGGTACTTGTTTCCCTCTGCCTTTGACCATGTTTTTCAGAAGAGCTGCTGCAGGAGATGAATAGCCCAACAAAAGCCTCACTATTTAGGGAGCTGTGTTCCCTCAGCACATGACCTTAAATGAGAAAGCAGCCTGTAATTCACAAGGAATTTCCTCAGCGATTGCAGAAGGACTCTGCTTCCTATAGTGCTTAATATGGGAGATATTGAAGACGAATTAGTTCATATTAGTTTTCAACGTATTGTGCATCAAAGATGCTCGTAAAAATAGGGGAAAAAATACCTAGCCTCAGAATAGAACGTTCCAAACTTCTTAAATAAAACTTCTTATACTAGGCTTCTTCAAAAAATGAAGAAAAAAAAAATCAAATAATTTGACTGCATGCCTATACCCAAAAATATACCGGCAGATACTGTTGCATCTCATCATTGGTTTTGGGAGTTGTTTTTAGATTTGCTCCCACAAACAGAGCATGTGCATGACTTTTCACAGCAGATTTGTTAATGTTAAAATCCATATGTATAATTTTCAAATTCTAATCCCACTTTTTTGAACCTTTAACGGGTTATTTGTCTAACATTTCAGAAATTACATGTTTATGCACTTAAAAAGCATGCATTTTACTTCAGATTTTTTTTAAAGACTCTAAAATGAAGAAATACTATGAATTGGTCATTTCCAAGCATCATGAGTATGTTAATAATATTGCTGCAGAAGTGTGTGGGAAAATAGCTGTTTCATCCAGAAAACGTGCACATGGTATGCAAGGAATTTTCATTGTGCCCAGCTGAAATTCCCTTACGTTCACAAGGAATGTTGAAAGTGAACCTTAAAAAGGAAGGACGTTTGTATAGGCATAGTTTACATTTTATCCATTATTTTCAACTGGATTTATTTTTTCCTCGCTATGGTGTCATGAAAACCTGCTATGTAAAGTATTCTTCAGACTGCAGTGGAAAAAATTATTTTCCCAGTCTGATCACATATAATATTTGTTTCCTGCTTAGTGTGCATACCTAAATGTACATGTGTTGCAAACTGTGGGAAGGAACGTGTGAAGCAGCTTCAAGCGACCCTTAGTCCTAAAGTAGCCATAAGGCCTAGCGATGCCCAGGGCAGAGAGATGCAAGGGAACTGCTGCCTGTGCAGGGACTTGTAGAGGTATGGCATCCTCAGCAGGCGCAATGTGTCCTACAGTTCCCAGAACTGGGAATGATCCTACAGCTTCCCTACAGAGGTGGTGCTGTGAGACCACACTTCTCCATCTGTCAGGGCAGGAGGCCTCTTCAAAGTAGGTTGGCTTGGCAGAGGTGGTACAGTTTCTGTCCTAGGTGCGTGGCCACACGCTATCCTCAGCAGCGCAGGCTTTTCGCATCTTTACTCATCAAAAAGTGTTTGCGTGTAACATAGCAAGAGACCACCTGTGCCAGTACGTACTGTAAACCTGGATGCTGCAGACCTCCACTAAAGCTTCTGGGAAGTCTTTGGGCATCTGCCCATTGACTTCCCACCAGCCCCAGGATCTCCACCAGCCAGCCTTAAGGAATGTAAGCTGTAGCTGGGCAAGGGCACTTCTCACAGAGGCATTCGTGCTGAGTCAGTGCTGGGTGACACTTTCTCTGCTCTATGAGTGAAGCATAGTGCCAGTGTTTTGGCTGTCCATTTGCAAGACAGGGGAAAGATTTATTTGCTAAGCAGAAATGGAGCAGTAGTTAAGAAGAACACTACTTTTTAATGATCTTGATACTGCTCTGGTGCACAGACATCTCATGGATCTTACAGAGAATTGAAATTCATGGAGAGGGAAAAAAGGTTAAAATTAGCCAGCGTGAATGCATTTCTATAGCGAGCCAAATCAGTGGGGTTTCACTGAGCGCAAGTCAGCTAACGGTTGGCGGAAGGGTGGGGCCTTGGGGGGGGGGGGGGGGGGAGAAAAAGAAAAAACCTAAAATCAGTAGATTCTTAAGCTCTAGAAATGCTGCTCTGGATTGCGTGTTCTCTTTGTTTCCTTTTCTGCACACACTCTTAAAAAAAAAATAGGTACCTACTTATTAAAAAAAAAAAAAGTCTGGCATTTGTTAAAATAATGGCTTCTACCCAAATCCTA